TCCTTCCTTGGTTCAGCTGTTGTTGAGACATAAACTGGAATGATCGATGAGGTATGAGTGCCGTTCCTTTCTTGAACTACTCTGTTCGAAGTCACAGGCTTAGACTCTTGTACCTTATGTGATTCGGCTGATCTATCTGCAGATCTTTGTAGGGCTGTATTCAACCAAAGAAATCCTTAGTCGACCAAAGTCGAGTCCTGCGCAACGATTAGTCGACTAAAAAAAAAAAAAAACGTGATGTTTTGATTAAAATGTTTTTTAAACAATTGTCATTGAGCATTTATAAAACAACGAAAAACATCACAAATAAATAAAACTATAATAATAATACAATTCTTTGAAAATTAAGTGATTTTTTAACCGCAAAAAGTGAAGAGATCTGTCCTAGGTCCATAGTAACAGTCACAATCGCGCACCTGACCACACCACACGCTGCAAAAAATTATAACTGCTAGCCACATAATGAAAAATCCCAACAAAACCTCTCGTTTATACAGGCTTTATATTCTTCTTTACTTTCAAAGCTATGGGTTAACTTTCGTCCTGACGATCAAGGCGTTTTAAACAACACACAAAAACTCAAATAACTTAAAAACAATCCTAATAGAGGCTGTAGGACCGCGTATAGGTTTATTTTCGTTTTGTTGCGTATTTAGGCTATTTTCAAATGCGTCAAGTGTACAAATAAAAACAAAACATTAAGAAAACACAATCTATTGAGTCAGCATGATATAGCCGTTAAAAGGCTGCTCACGTCTTTTGCGCGCTCAAGTTCGATTTCAAATATAGACGCGCGACTTGCGGGCTCATAATGGAGCAACGCGATCGCCTCCCTCCACAGTCTTGTCTTTGTTTTAAAATGCAGCCAGACAAAAGATTTAGATTTCCTGGACATTTTGTCGACTAAAGCCAAAACAAGCAGCGTTCTAACTGAATGAATACAGCATCCCTTACCGAGCGCGATCAGCAGCGCAGCCAGCCACAGGTGCGGTTCCCGAGTGTATTATGTGTGTGCGCTAAACTGTGGCGCAGTTACAAAAATAGCCTAAATTAAAGCATTTTAAAGTTGGGAACAAAACATAGGCTAATTATATTTAGAATACAGTAATAAATAACTGCTTATAAATGAATAAATATCAAGGAGTAAATCTTTGAAAAATTCTTTCTATTGGTAAAAAAAAATTAAAAAAAATGCAACTGGTCGACCAATAAGAATGTCAGTCGACCAAGACGGCATCGACCGATTAGTCGACTAAACGACTAAAGTTGACAGCCCTAGATCTTTGATTAACCTTGGACTGATCTTCACTGGTTTTAGATCTTTGTTCTGGGGATTTATTTACACGGTCCTGGTGTAGGCTTTTTGGGTGACGCTTCTCACATTTTTCGCACACGCTCCTAGAGGAACAGCTTCTGGAGTTATGACCAGCCTTAAGACAGCCAAAGCACAACTTCTCAGACTGTACAAACTTCAATCTTTCCTCAATCGGTCTTTCCATAATCTTACGACACTTATGAAGGGTGTGGCCATACCTCTTACAAAAGACACAGATAAAGGTCCTTTCCTCGTTCGAACTAGTGGTGAATGTCTTGGCAGTTGAGTTGCGATTCCGCTGAAACTTATGATCTTGATCTGTTTGCTTGTACCTTTCTTGCTCGGCTGGCTTTATTGCTTGCAGTGACGTGATGGGATTGCATGCAATTCGAGCTTCCTTGACAAGGAATTCAACAAAGTATTTGAAATCTGGGAACCCTTTGTGTTCGTCTTGAAACTTGGTGACTGCTCTATTCCAACGTGAACTTAACCAGTCCGGCAATTTGGCTGATATTCTCTGATTTTCAACACAGTCATTCAGAGCTTGTAAACCTTGAACATAAGGCATGGCTGACTCAACACTGCTTAGAAAATCTACAAATTCCTGGAGATCTTTGCTATCTTTGGTAGCAATCTTGTGCCAAGACTGTATTTTGTCACGATAAGATTTGCCAACTACGAATGGATTGCCGAACCTGTCATCGAGGATGTTCCAGGCTGCCATGTAAGCTATTTCTGTTCCAGCCACAAAATGTCCTTCAATAGCTCTCTTGGCCGGACCAGCTACATACTTGCGTAGAAAATACAGCTTTTCTTGAGGTGGCAAGTTCTTGCGATCAATTAATGTCTGGAAAGACAGCTTCCAGTCGTTATACTTTAGGGGATCTCCAGAGAAAATAACAGGTTCTGGAACTGGGATCCTATTGGCTGTAATCGCTTCAGCGAGCGCCTTCACAAGGTCATTAGAAGCTTCGTTGGGAGCAAGCAGTGAAGGTGACTGAGGGATATGGGCTTGGGGAATTGGTAACCCTTGAGAGGGACAAGAGGGTTGGTTGAAAGGAGCAGTGTCTTGTGCGAGTATGAATGGCTTAGAAAGAGAAAAAGGAATACTTAGTTGAAAAATATAACCTCCTTGTCCTTGTTGAAGAAGAGGAGCAGAATGCCGTTCTCCCTCATCACCTTTGATGCTTTCAGCGTAAACCTGCAGCCTTGCTTGTGCTGCGTTGTGTCTTTTTAGTTCCTCCAACCGTTCCACTTCCTTTTTCTTTTCTTCCAGCTTTATTTTCCTTACAGTGCTTTCTGAAATAAATTGAGCCCTTTTCCTTGCTTTCTCCGCTTCAGTTTCTCTTTCTTGAGCTTCTCTTTCTGCTGTTAACCTTTTATCCTCTGCCTCGAGTTTCCTAATTTCCTCTTCATGTTGATGTTGCGTCTTCATTATTTTAATCACTTCTTGTGTAGCCGCTACTTCAGCTGCTGCTTCTTGTCTTCTCTGCAGGGAATCACTGTAAGATCGACTGGACAATTTGGAAACAGACCTTGACTTACTGGAGGTTGCTGAGATAACGCTGGACACCGTGGCTTCAAACACTGAATCTGAATCAGGCCAGGGAATCTCCTTAGGATCACCATTGAGAAAGCTCTGAGACTTCTCATTCGCAATGCTAGTAATGGCAAGACAAGTGTCATTTTTTCTTCTGATTTCAGGTTCCGGGCTTGTGATGCTTCTTATATCACCATAAATATGGTCAACCTCAGACTGAATGGTGTTAATGGTGCTCACAACTTCACAAATCAATTCTGCATCATCATTGTTCTTAATGGCTCTTTTCAATCCATTGATGTGATATTTCCACCTTTTATACTTCTGATCAAAGCTTCTTTCCAGATCCTTTAGTCTAGCGTCTAGCAGTGTTTTACCCTTCTCGGTAAGCGTGCGTACTCGCTGACTTCTTCTGATATCTGGGAGCTGTGTATTATCTGCATCCACCTGAGGTTGATGTGCTTGAGCAGCCACTTCAACTTGATCAGTTATATCATCCTGCTGTGGTGGGATAACCTGCTCTGCACTGCCTTCGTCTTGTGAGGGTGTGTAGAGCTGACTTCTTAAATAGGCAGCAATGTTTTTTCACTTGTGTATGACATGACCTGTGTTGCACTATAATGTGAATATTCAAAGAGCTCAAAATAAATCTAAGGTTTAGTGTAAAGCGATTATCTCAGCTTGACTTATATGACTGAATCATGTAAAATATAAAAAATGTAGAACTTTCAAGTAGCAAAGTATGAACTTATAACTTGCAACACACTTAAATCATAAGGTATGCAAAACACTTGAATAAAACAAAAAAAAAATCAAATTTTAGTCTTTCAATAGTTTCAATTCAATAGTAGCACAATTGCCTATCTATTTAATCCCTTCAGTTTCTTAAGTCAAACGATAATAGAAAAATGTCCAACTTTATCTTAGAATGAGGATGACAGAAATACCAGATTGATTAAAACTTCAGCGAACAGTTCACAAGACCTTGTGTTGCTTCCAAGTCACTAACTTTAATAGTGCTTGCTTGTTCAGCCTTCACTTGCCCACTGGCTGCTTTAGTCAGTCAATTGTGATATTTTCATGTTGTACTTCCCTCATTCAACACGTGGCGCCTCTTGATGGCCGTCTTCCTCGTGCAGCTTTACGATCAGTTGCTTTGGCCTTCTTCGACGCAGCAAGTGTTCTACTGTACCGCTCTTAGTCACAACACGAAGGCTGAGGTTCTTTTAACTGATGTTTAATGCTCTCTGGACTCAGACATCAACATCAACACCGTAGAACTAAAATGATGAATATACAACCAAAACATATCACAGTCAGTTACATGGAAAACACACGAGTTTAAACTCGTACATAAACAGAAAATACATACCACTTTTGCCTGCTTGTGAGCTAAGAGAGGGGGTTACATCTTGAAGCTTCTTGATTGCATGACTTATCATAATGATAAACACTTTAAACCTTGCGATTACATCGTTTAATATGATCCGGAGAATTGTAAACTCCGACCCGTTGTTCCATGGCAAAAACAGGAAGTGACATACAAAGACACGATGGGAACAAAATAAAATATATCCATAAAACTCTTAGAAAAAAGAATTATTGCTCAAATGTACAACAGTTGAGTATATGAATCACAACAAGCATTATAAAATAGTTGAAATATAAAAATGTACAGATTAAACTGATTCAAAGTTGCTGAAATAAATGAGTGTTGAAGTACACAAGCGCCATCTAGTGGAAATAAACATTGTGGACATCCAAAGCTTTGTGACAGCAAACACAAACTAACTTAGCTACTTCAGCTGAAAAATGACACTTTTCTTTTAAAGCTGCTTTACAGCCGAAAGGAACTGTTTGCATCATCAAATCATTTTTACTAAAGTTGATTTGATCTGTATTAGGCTATATAAAACGCTTTATAAATAAAGGCTTGAAAAAAAAAGCTGGGGAAAAAAGACTTGAATGTTGTGCAACAACAACGTGTTCTACTGGAAGTTGGCAATATATCAATTGTGAAGTGAGATTACAAGGAAGTAATGTCAAACTTCACCTTGTCTATGGGTGTGTGCGTGTGAGTGTGTGTGTTCGTTTGTTTGTGTGTTCGTATCATTTGTATACAAATGGACACCATATCCACCACCCCTATGATGTAGTTTAGTTTCAGAGCCCTATAAAAGGCCATCTTCAGCCTTGACAGAGAGAAAACAGCTGCTGAGTTGCTGGTGAATTCTCAGGATTTATAAGACTATACAAGAATAGTAAGTATATAATTTAAAGCTTTATTTAGCTGATAGCGGGACAATTAAAAGGCTTAAAGTCATTATAATTGGAATGTGACAGCAGTAGATTGAATTAATCCATGCAGCCGCCTTTTTAAATAAAATAGGAATGATCTGCACGCTAACAAATGAGCATAAATGCAAGATCAGTTTGAGGGTGAAAAAAAATCCGGATTATTCCACATTTCCACACATCTGTACCATTCAAATATTTTTAAGTGGCAATAGCTGTATTATGGCCATTTAATATTATTATTTAAAAGTCACTGTAATTATTGTTAAAATAAATGTAAAACCATTTCATATCATGTTTATATTTCAATGACAGCCATTAAAAGATTACATTGTTTAGCAGCTTTTAATTTTTAAGGTGAAACACTTATATTTATCTTAATGTCGCTTTTTTTTAAAAAAACTTTGGTCCATTAGTCCAGGTCTTTTTTTTTTCAGTAATTAATGATTTGCTATTTTGATTTACTGATTGTTTTATAGATGAGTTCATCCAAACTCCAGGAAAGGTATGTAATCCAGCTCAGATTCCTGTAATTGAAGCAGTGCATTTCATCACATATACTGATACAATACAATTAGTCTATGACAAAATTGATGATTATGAGAATAACTGTTCGAAATGAACATTAGACGAAATTGTATTCAAATCATGAATATGAAATCCAATACAGCAGTGTGTGATGATGATGATGTCAATGGTCTGTCTGTCGCTGCAACAGTGAGGTGAGAATCGAAAACTCTCTGAATAAAAATGAGCAGGACTTTATAGCCAGAAGGAAAAGGACTGTCCAACAAAGCCTGCAGAAACATGGGATAATCTGCAGTTTGGTAAAACATCTTATACTTCATCATATATCTGCCTGTAAATACTTTCTTGATCTACTAAATGGTTTTGTAGCTATATGTAGGGATAGTTCACTCTGAAATTAATTGTTGATATGTTTTAGCTTACCTCAAGGGCATCCAAGATGTAGGTGTCTTTGTTTCCGCAGTAGTTTCAATTTTGATATTTTTAGGTCAAACCGTACGTTCTTGTCTGTCAGTCATATAATGGAGGTCTATGGTCACCACCTCAAAGAGCATGCACAGACAAGTCCAGATTAAACATGATTTAATGACTCGTAAATGTAAGTACACATTGATGGCCTAAGACACGAAACGAGCGGTTTGTGAGAGAACATGAATAGTATTTATATCGTTTTACCTAGGCACGGGCGCTTTGTGGCTGATAAAAATACTGTTCGTTAATTAATTAATTAACATGGAAATCATGTTGTTTCGTATTGTTACAAGTTAGTAGTGTTTGTTACCCGTTTCAACTGTGTATTTACAGGGTAAGTGTAACTCCTCCGGGATGTAAATTAAAGTGCCGCTTGCCAGATCTTAACTTTTCAATACAACGTACAATTTTTGCCTGGAATATATTAACAGAATAGGTTCCTGTTAGTTTTTTTTTATTATTTGCTTGTATATCTGCTTGTTACCCCTTTATTACCCAAAACTTAACATACTGTTCCCTTATACGTACACAAAAGTTCGTAATTATAGACATATAGAAAAGTAAGTAATTATAGACATGTGCACGGTAATTTCGGGTTACTCAAGCAGTTGTTTGCGGGTCGTAAACGAAAGTGTTACCAATAACAGACTGTAAAGGTGGCACGTAGGAATATTAATGACCCCTCTCACATTCTGTTTTCGGAGTTTGAATGGCTACCCTCGGGAAGTAGACTCCGTTGTCCGCTTCGTCGGACACAGAGGAGGAAAGTAACCTTCATCCCGAGGGCTGTCCAGCTTATGAACTTGAACTTTAATAGGAGTTAATGATTTCTTCAGTTTTTTTTTGTTTTTTTTTTATGATATGTGGTATGTAGTGTTGGTTGTGCAATGTGCTTATGTAAGCTACTGTAATGTGCCTTCAAATTTCCCCCCTCTGGACAAATAAAGTGCTTGATTGATTGATTGATTGATTGATTGAATAATACTTTATTTTTTTTAATTTTTTTATTTTTTTATTTTTAATAATAATACTTTATACTTAATACTTTAATACTTTAATAATAATGAATAATACTTTATATGGAAAAAGAAGAATTTTCATTTCAAGATGTTTCCAACTCTCAACTTTGAACCAATTCCATAGAATGGCCCATGTAACCGAGTTGACCATCAAAATGTTTGCGTAACGGGTACCATGGCAACGGCACCGGGCAAACAGATTGACTCCTGTAACACAGGACATTTACCAACATGTAACACAGGAGATATACGAGGAGACAGGTTCGAGCTCTCTGCTGTAATGAGAATCCCACAGCTATAACCCGTGACCCTTCCCCTGCTGGCCCAGAGCAAACTACACAATTCACTTTTGAAGAAGGAAAATCACATTAAAATAAAAATAATACAATTTCAAATACAAGACGATAATTCTGAATATTCTTATAACACAAAAATGACACTTTTGTGCTCGTCACACTTGCAAAACGAAACTGTGTGTGTTTCAGGAGGAAGTGCCAAACATTGCATTACTGGGATCTGGAGGAGGAGAAAGAGCCATGGTGGGTTTGCTGGGATCCCTGGTTCAGCTCCAGAAAACAGATCTTCTGGACTGTGTCCTTTATCTGAGCGGAGTATCTGGATCCACTTGGTATGAACCCTGAGTAACAACAAACAAAGAGACACACACGCACACACAGATGTGTTGAATATCATAAATGACAGCGGCATGTTGTTCCTCTGAAGGTGTATGGCCTCCTTATATCAGGAGTCAGACTGGTCCACCAAACTAGAGTTTGTAAAAAACAAGATCATCCAGAGACTCGGCGGTCCTGCAGTCTGCTGGGGAGATTCATTGGCCAAACTGGAGAAATATTACTATGAGAAAGACATCTTCAGCTTAACTGACTTCTGGGCAGCAATGGTCGTCACAACATATGTGAAAGAGGTCTGTAACTATTCATAACACAGCTTCCATGACATATTTATGAGATGGTCACATTCAGGTCAACAAGTGTAATGTGAATACTTTTAATAGATATAATTATTTAATAGCAACAATAGCTATTATAACATTGTTTAGATTACAGTATTACAAATCTACCTGCCATCCTCTGATATAGGAAACATACATGAAAAAAGGAAAACCTTTATTAAACCAGGAAGTCCCTTGACACTGAAATCTCTTTTCCGAGGGAGACCTGGCCAAGACGGCACACCAATTTAAGTAAGCAATGGGCTCTATTGTAAGGATGCTCGATAACTTCCGCCGATCGTTGAGTCGCAATACCGAGAATTTATATTGAATTTTATACTCCATGGTTATACTAAAGAAACGTTAGTCACAAAAACAGATGAAACAGACACCCCTCGTTGTGTTTATGCTTCTTTTTAAAATTATATTGAATAAACATAACTATATATAAAATTACATCTAAACGTATGTACGTTTCGTTTCAAAGACGGGACAACAGTAAATTTTGAAGACTTTTCCACGATTTTCCTCCGCTTAAATCTCCACAACCGGAAATGGACGAGCATCCTTGCGTCAAATGCGGAACTTATGCGTGCATATGGCCCATAAGGTAGGCCTACGAGAGGCTGTGCTGTATAATAATTAACGGCTGAAGGGCGTTGTTAGGCACGATGCGAAGCGGACTAACCCCTTTAAACGTCACTTATTCACGAATGTATTAGTGCAACTTTCTTGAAGTAAAATCACTAAAAGCCTTCCTTCCGCTAGAAGAAAATAGTCCCTGAGCGTGAACAGCAACAACGTTCAATGTGTAAAATGCATGAAAGATCATATAAAAACAACATAGAACGGCAGTGTTGCGCAGCGATCAATAGAACCGTTGGGTGAAGCGGTCATAGCCGTGTTTTATCGCGAAAGCACAGCTCTTGACCAATCAGAATCAAGGATTCGAACTAGTCACTAGTCAAAAACAAACAAACAAGCATAACACATTAAAGAAAAGAACAGGTCATGGCAGTTACAAATGGGATCTGATATAATTTTGTAATAAAAGATTATACATTTTAGTTTGCGCACTTATAGGTCGCTAAAAAAAAAAAAGTTAACTGTAAAAGAACCAGAAAACTAGAGAATGAAATTGTGTGTTGAAATTGTCTCTTTGTAAAGTCCATTTACCATTGTGGTTCTGTCAGAACTGTAACGACATCAAGAAACCCCAGTATATTTCAAGCGTCTCAAAGCCTTTTCTTAATGATGAGGTCACTGGAGGAACTGCTGACAGTCTTCAGAGTTTTTGCAGGAACATATGGACATTTTATAAGTTCCTCAGAGATGTTCCTCTTCAGAGGGTTCCACCAGAGTGGCGATCTGAGAAACCCCAAATGTTTTTTTCTTCCATTTTACAGTGAAAGCCTTTATTCGTTTCTTAATAATGTTCTAATTGTATATGTCTCTCCACTACAATAACGTTCTCTAGATCGATGAACAACCATTCACAAAGTATTGGAGCCAGGAGAGTAAAGACCCGTTTCCCATCTACACAGTGATCGACAAGCAATGCAAACAGATGAAGGAAGGAGGTTTGTGTCTTTGTCTAAAAGAAAGACAGAGTTAATGTCAGCTGTTATATGGGTGTGTTTCTGTCTGCAGACCCCTGGTTCGAGTTCACTCCACATGAAGCAGGTTATTCCCTCATTGGAGCGTTTGTGGACAGCTCCAGCTTTGGCAGTCAGTTTGAAAAAGGCTCCATGATCAAGAAGCAGCCTGAGATTGACATGCTGTACCTGCAAGGTAACAAACTAAAGCCTAGTTCACACTACGTGATTTTAAGCCCGATTTAAGCCCGATTTGCAAATCGTTGAGTCGCCGACAAGTCAGGGTGTTATCGCGTGCAAATCGCGGGCGATTAGCGGACGATTAACGCTCGCCAATCAGTTAGTGTGAAAGAGCCAACAACGCATCAAAGACAGCTCGCAGACAGCTCGCAGACAGGTCACAGAGCTCAGAAAAATATCTAGCATGCTAGATATCTCGAGCAGTCGCGCGACTCAATCTCAGTGATGTCATGAGTACAGCCAATCATAGCAACGCATGGGTTGAGGACACCAGGTAAATCTTACTTTTTCTTTTTTGCATTTTTTTTTCTCAGAGCAGATCGTCGAGCAAACAGTGTGCAGCACTAGTTTCTGTCTGACGTCCATATTCGCGTATTGTGTTCTTCTCTGCAGTTTCGCGTCATTTCTGGTTCGTTTTATTGCGTGGTTTTTCGTTACAAAACATGGTTTCTAGACCAGATAGAATCGTGTTGTTGTCAACTCGTTATTTGTTTGATTATTTTCAGGATTTAGACCGTATTATAGTACTGAAACAGCTCTCATTGAGTCACAAATGATATGCTCTTATCATCCGATTGTGGTTGTATCTCTATGTAGTGCGTTGTTAACTCGTGTAGTGAGTTACCTCCTGTTGTGGATCAATCACGTTGTGTTGTGTGGTGTGAACAGCTAGATCAATACTGAGATCAGGGCTGTAGTAGATGCTCATCTCCAAGTCAAAACAATAACATTATGAGTAGAAATGTTTAAAAATCGTTTAGGCATCAATTTCAACTGCACATTGAGTATTTAGAGAGGAGTTTTCTCATGTCCAATATATTTTAGGGGAAATCAATGAAAACATTTGCTAATTTAGTAATTGCTCAAATTGAACATTTCAAAACTGGACCATATAGAGCAGGGGTTCTCAAACATTTTGGTGCCAGGGACCCCTTTCAGGGGAAAAAAAATTCCAAGGACCCCCCTCATATTTATAACAGTTATTGAGCACAAAGTTAATGTGTGAGCGGCAAATGAAATATTTTTGCACAAAATGAATGGTCTCCACCCAGGGTACTATGCAGGAATTTCTAAACAGCCTACTGAGGTAACGAAAGTGATCTTGCTAGGAATCACTTAGTTAGGATCCCTCACTTAGGAATTTTTGATGTTCTTGATCTACACATGTGCATTTTAAGGTGTTTTAAGGCCCCACAATTGGATAACTATAGATTTAGTAGAAGCATGTCAGTCAGTGGCATACATTTTTTTTTTGTCAAGATGTCACGAAACACAATCACATATTCCAATCAGGAATGGCCTTAAAAGAGAAATGTTTCAATAATTAGGCCTATTCTGCACACAAATAAAGCCCATAAGCCAATAAATACAATGATAATGGCATTATGTTTAATAGGTGCGTGCGTTGTTAATTTGAGCTACTGTAATTAGCTAAAAAAAAAAAACATACAGTATATGTTAAATATATGAATCCATAATGTTAATCTCATGGGCACAGTATGTTTCTATTGACCTGCTTTTTCCTTTGTTAAAGTTGAGCTTGATTAATACTTTGCAAGCTGATTGTTTCAGTCGTTTTTTAAAACTTTTATCTAAAACAGCTGTTTAGTTTATGTTAATTAAGGCCTACATCTTATCTCGCACTTTATGACCGTTGACTGAAACGTCGTGCGGGGAACTTTGAGTTCACTCCGACTCAAACATTTTGACATTGACGAGCTATCGTTGTTAGTCTGCTGAAGCACCTCAGACGAGAAGGTCAGTATCATCGCGATGTGCATCCTTGCAACCTCAGTTGTGGGTACGGCCCTGTCACTATGCACTTTTATTTTGATAATGATCAGACTTCTAATGTCAAATCTACAGTAGCAGTGCTAGAACTGACTATTGTGCGCGCACGCGAGACGCCGGCGCGCAATTATATGGGAATTTTTCCTCAGCAGTGGAAACAGGAACTCTTATTTATGGTCATAGATAAGACAAGAGTGTATCATCCGAAACGGTAAAGTGTCCATTTTTTTTATTTGTGTATAGGCTACATTATAAATGACTACAAAATGTCATGCCTTTTAAAAATACAGAAAAGAACCGGATGCGGTTTCATGCCGTCTCTCTGTCTCCTTTCTGGCGCACGTCCCGCAAAATCAACAGCAGCGAATAGTCTACTTGACGCAAAGACATAGATTATCTATCTATAGAAAACTTTAAGTGTCTACTTTGTATTGTTTTATGTTAAATGCTTTATATAAGTTACTTAGGAATAAACAGCATGTTTTCAGATGATAAAGAAAACATGACTCATAGCATGGAAAAAAACGTTAGGTTGTAAATTATTTCGCGGACCCCCTGGCTTTAGCTCGCGGACCACCAGGGGTCCGCGGACCCCACTTTGAGAACCACTGATATAGAGTGCCGAAGTGATGACGTCACTTTGTAGGACAACTCGGAAGCTAGCGGCGCATGGGTTCCCTCGGTCGAAAAGCTCTGCATTTTCCCCATAGACTTTTGGAAAATCGTAAAAAATAAGATCTGTGTTTAACAAAGGGTTGTGACCCTTACACGTTTTGTCTAGCAAGATTATCTTTACAAGTTAATCCAAAATGTATACATTTTGAAGCCTATATAAGGATTTTAAAAAACACAATCAGACACAATAAACACAAGCAGGTTATAACTGTGTGTTCTATGTCACAGATCAAAACGTGAAAATATTTAGAGGCTTTGTTCACCACAGACCTTATTTCAGGCGATTTAGCACAAACCCATTCAAAAATCCCATAGGCTTTAGAGCGAGGGAACCGTAGTGCTGAAATGCTAACTCACTTCCGCGTTTTGGCCAACAGAGTGACGTCGTAACTTCGGCACTCTATTGCCTCACTAATAGGGAAAACTAACATCATACCAATAGGGCAAGAAGCCACCTAGGGTAAACTTATCCCTATCATCTGCTTTTTGTAGAATATCTAAAATACATGGGATACTTTTAATGATTTATTTCTGTATGTCATTCATGTTAAATACTAAATCAAACATTCCATGTAAATTTATATAGTTTGCAATGCATTTTTACAAAATTGTCGGATAATGTCAGAACAATTGAATAGCTAACAGAATAGCAAGTAATATGTGTTACCTGTTGTGGGGTGGCAGGTTTCGGTGAGGTGCTCATTTCCAAAATAGGGTTAAGAATTTAAAATAGAGACATAAAGCAGAGGTGGTGTTCTTGATGGCAACAAATGGAGAGGGTAATACGAGATAACTGGTGAGGCAAATGAACTAATGAAAAGGAAACGAGGGGGTAAAGACATGGCTAATAAAAAGCACATGGTAAACATGACAAACAGAAGCACAGAAACAGAAAAGACCGAACCGGGGTAACACGAGTAGGCCCGGACCACGTTTACACAAAGCCGGGTGTTTAGTAAAGCTGGGTAAGCCATGCAAGCCAGTCAGAATCGACAAGAGAGAACCTAAAACCCCGTTTCTCGCAGAAGACATGACAGTTTTCTGTGATAAAAACGGGGTTTTCGTGTAAATGAGAGGCCAAACCACAGGGAAATATCTGCGTTTCAACATCAATTTCAATTCCCAGATCAGTGATAGGTCAGGCAATGTTTGTTATTTCCTGTTCCTTTGTTCAGTTTTCATAGTTACCGTCAATATTAGTTCATTGGTTTCAGTTGCGTGTCATTTATTAGCTTGTTTCAGTTCATTGTTTAAGCCTCACCCTTGCCTTTGTCCAGTCTCTGTTATGTTTAGATGTGTTGGCAATGCCTGTTTGCTTGTGTTTTGAGTAAGAATTAAACGTATTAGTGTTTTGTGAGAACCCGAGGAGAACCCTATCTTCTGTTTTCAGCTTCCTTGCATACATGGTTACAGATAGGCCTATCCAATGACAAAATAATATTAATAATAATAATAATAAATGATCCTTTAACCTCAAAACTCTTCTGATGAAATACTGTAAATGTCAAAAGATGAAAAGTCATAAGCATAATTAGTCAATAAATATTTAGAAATGAGAGTTCTTACTCCACCTTACCTAATCTGATCAAAGCAAACTGTTATATATACTATAGACACATTTTTTTCTTTTTTAAGATGTGCTTTTGTTCTGTTTGTTGCTGATATTGTGTGTTTTCTGCAGGTCTGTGCGGGAGCGCTTCAGCTGATGGAGACGAGAATCTGAAACTCCTCTGGCAAAAGATAAAAGGTGCCACTGCATTTTGTCCTGAAGAATCAGTTCTGCATAAAACTGACAGTCAAATCATTGTAATATGAACTCTGTTTTTTGTTTTGTATTGGTTTTTTTCAGATTTCATAAATCATTTAATCCCCCCTGAGGGAATGGTGAAAGGTAAAAACATTCTTGTTGCATTTATTTATTGATAATGTGGTAAAATATTTGATACAATTTTTTATCTAAAAAAATATTTTTTCTTCAGAAGATCCAGACTCCAGGAAGTGTTTCCAGGTGCTCTTGGACCTTGTGGACATGAATCTCTGTGTTTTGGATGGCAAAGATCCTTCTGCTCTTGAGGACACCATCAGAACTTCAGTGAACAGTAAAACTTCTTAAACCTAGAATTCATATATAAGGGTTACATTTTCTGAGGAGAGACGCAAATAAATAAAGAAGGGTTATTGAACATCCACAAAAAATATTGATGCCAATGAAAATGAAAAGGGGGGACAGGCGTACAATATGTTCAGTGGGTTATACCGTCAGATCTAATATCCAGTGCATGTTTTCTTGAGTTTTTGTCCACTTGTTTTGTTGACTGGACAGTGTGTCCCTCACAGCAAGGTCATGTCAAAATACAAATGTAATCTGCATACAAGCCACAACAGGATCCTGCTGTTTATTTACACTTATTTAAGAACAATACATTTGTTTTATTTTTGAAAGACTATTTCAATTCAAATAGGCCCTATATGTTCAAAATGAATAATAAATATTATGAGAAAGATATTTAATGGCTTTTCAGCTAATTTTAAAAAGTGCAAATTAGACAGTTATACAATCACAAAAATATCACCCCTGTGTCTGAGGTTTTAATTTGTGGAGTAAATTAAAATCTGGATTGATTCAAACCCCTGCACACAGTTGGTCAGAACTGTGTAAAGACATCAAGTTGAGGAAATTCACTCTCCAGACTCTCTTTTAGTGAGTTTACCGATGATAATTCAAATGCAAATATGTGTGGTTTTTATATGCACACACACTATTTTACATTAGTAAGCTCAGGATGCTGCCAACAAACATGAGATGAAGCTGATTAATCTGGAAAAATAGAATTATCTGTTGTCAGAATAACTCAATTTTGTTCTCCTCTTTTTACAGACCTCGATGGAGGCAAACGTCAGCTGATTTTTCAAGTTGAGAAACTGGATCTCGCTGATAAAAAAGCTGCAAAACTGTATATGAAGAATTTCACCATGGATGTATGCAACAATTTGAGTGTTGGGTTCAGTTTCTGGCCGTTCGGTAGGTGGAACTGATGCAATGTACTTCACTTTTGATTTTCAAGTCGGTTTAATGAATGAGCCACTTTACAAAACATTTTCATCTTTTAAATAGCCGTAACTGCTTCCAGTTTGAGCCAGTGTGAATTAATGCCTAATGCCTAAACTTTCTCATAGGACCATAGAGTGATAATTATATATAATTTATCTTGAGAACTACTAAACACATTGTAGTAAAGAAAAAACCTGCATTTGTTCTCTTTTGGTTAACATTTTTGTTCTCCTTAGCATATTATTTAGATAAAGCGAGGGCTACTTGCATTAGCACAAGTTGTGGCGAGCTATAAAAACAAGTGTGTGAGGATTGAGAAATACAGGTAAAGAGAGAATACACATTTTCTTTCGTGGTGCATTACATGTTTATCAGTGAGGGAATTATCGGACTGATTAAAAAGTGAGTCTGAATAATTCAATAAAATAGGCTACCCAGTTTAATTTTGAGTCTTTTGTTCATGAATCGGACTATATGTTGTACAGATCTTATCAAGAGCATTTTGAAATGCGCGAGTGAGTGGATTTGGGGCAGGACATATGACTTTCTCCACAACATGACAGGTGAGAAGAGACTTGCTGTAATTCAATGTGAATAATAAACATGACTCAATGTGACTCATTTGTGATCTCTCACTCATAAACTGTCAGCTAAAGCAGTGCCCCCCGCTCTACTGAAAAGTGAGATGAGAGACTATGAAGACGCGGGACTGTTGCTCAACTCGCCCTACTTCTCAGTGCTGAGAAAAGAGAGAAACACCGAACTCATCATTTCCCTGGATTTCAGTGATGGTGATCCTTTCACGGTATTATATATCCCTTTCTCTAATATAATAATGCACACATACTCTCATATCAGCTCAATTAAAGGAATAATTCTCCAAATGTAAATTCTATTATCGTTCTCTCACCCTCATGTCATGTCCCAAACCGATATGAATTTATTCACAAAAGAATATTTTTTTGAAAAAGAAGAATCTTGCTGAAAAAGCAAGCATTCCCATTAATCTGAGTGTCATAAACATGAACTCCCGAAAGTATTTCCACTTGTAATAAAGTGATTTGCAATGCTTTTCCACTGCAGACCGTGAAGGACGCTGCCAAGATGTGCAAGGAACAAAACATCCCTTTCCCTGAGGTCATCATTCCCCACGGACACTCAGAGAAACCGGAGGACTTCTACGTGTTCAAAGGCAAAAACGTTCCAACCGTGATTCACATCCCTCTCTTTAATGTGGTCAACTGTGGAGGCGAGTTAAAATCGTACAATGAACCTGAATAAAATCTGACATAACAACTGTGTTCTGATTTAAGTGTGTTATTGTTTCTTCAGATAAAATTGAGGACTGGAGGAAGATATATGGCACGTTTCAAGATCCTTACAGCGCTGAGATGATCACTGAGCTTAAAGAGGTCGCTGGACAAAACATCTCCAACAATAAAGCAAAAGTGGTGGACGAGATTCGTGCGATCATTGAGCAAAAAAGATCCAAGCGCTAACAAGATCAAATTTAACACGCAACTCAATACACAACTTATAACAATCTAAATACCGACTAAATTTAACTACATAGATGATTTAACAAATGTATTTTCTCTCTTTAATAATCACTTAAAATTGATAGGCAATAATGAGTTTGTTTGCCCATAAAACCTTTAAGATATTCTCTAAGATCTCTAAGATATTAGGATAAACTTATTTGGCTTACTGTCCACTGGAGAGGGGCTCGATGAAGCCGCTTTAACTCGAGCTCGGATAGACGCCCCCAGTGGCGAAATGTAGGACCTGATGATTAAAGGGCGAGGGACCTAAGGTGAAGGTGGAGTTTGGGGAGGTGAGGGATTCTGGGACAGCTGATGCTAGGGAGAGGTGAGCGGCTGCTTATGTATTCAGGCTGTTAATTGAAAGATTAGATTGGCTCACTTATGTTTAGGAACTTCATTTATTACTTTTTCTGCAAAATGTGATTTGTGTGCCATTATAAGATAATCAGAGGTTGGTAAAGTTGGTGCTTCATTTCTGTTCATTTCATGTTTCAATCTGTTTCTTCATGATGGACCTTTATTAACAGCTTATCATTAATAAGAAAATCAGCAAAATATCGTATTAGCTACTTTGACAAATATTGTATTCTTGTCAGTAATTGTTTCTGTTCCAATATATTAATAAAGTGCTTAAATAAAATAAGGTTTTGTCCCAGTCATTTGGTATCATATGGCAAACAGCACAAGTGCTCATTATTATTAAACTGTTTATAGTTATTTACTGCACTGTAAAAAAAGTGTAATTTTACAGGTAATGGACTGAATTTTTACCGTTTTGCCATTATACAGTTAAATGTCTTTTATTATACAGATATTAGCTGTAATTTAAAAGTCCACTATTCAATTTACAGATACTTGCTTGTATTTTGGTTTTACATCAGTTTTATGTAATTTAAACGAAATTTGTCTATAATTTTAAAGAGTTATGTGTAATTTTACATAAAATATTAAGTAATATTTTACAGATTCTTTAGGTGAAATTAGAAAATGAAGAAAATAAGGTATAACGGCAGAAATCAGCAATTACTCAACATGTTTTCTTTGAAGATCATTAGGCATGTGAGGGTTAAAGTGAGGGTTTTTTTTAAGATTAAATTATAGTATTTTTACATGCAGTAGCCTACGTACAATGGGCATATATTGAATTAGTATTTATTGTATAGTCTTTTAACCTTCTCTCACAAATAGATGCTCAGTTTGATCATTATTTCATTATTTTATTCTCCCCTAATTTCATGTAGGCCTATAGACCATTTCACAAGATGTAAACAACACTGGTCCAGAAACACTTCCTGTTTCAGTTTGTAACTGTTTGCTTTATTTCACATGTAAAGAAAACATCTTAAAGATGTTTGTTTAACTTTTTGATTCAGTTTTATATGCTCTGTTGGTTGTATTTTATCCCAGCTTTTATGTAGTGTTAAAAAAATGAAACAGGAAGTGCTTCTGGACCAGTGTTGTTTACATCTTGTGAAATGGTCTATATTGTTAAGTCCTCATGACAAGAAGCGCAAGCAAGTATATTCCTCTTATGAAACTTTTAATAACTATTATCCACAAGCAGGAGAACATGCAAGCACATTCTCTCTCTCTCTCTCTCTCTCTCTCTCTCTCTCTCTCTCTCTCTTCACATGTATCCAACTCAAGAAGCGTGAGTGCCATTTAGTGGTGCATTAATGTAAGGACATCACATATTCCCTCTTAGTTAAATTAATTATTTCTGTAGCCAACGATTAACATGAAATAGAAATGAAGAACATCAAATCAGTAATGCATCAACAATTGCACATGTAAATGAAGAATACACTAGCAACACATTGCATGAATGCAAAGGAGCATTTAAAATAAACAATATGAAAAAACTGCTCTACTACTACATACCTGAATTCTCCTGTGAGTGTGTTGTAAACGGACTGTAAAAAAAATATGGACAGGGTCACCCGAAGATTGAAGGCAAAAGTGGGCGGGGCCGGCCGTCGCCAGGCATCTTGGGATTTGCGTCACCTCTCGTCACTACCGGATCAATTAAAATGGGCAAAGAGGCGGGATGTGGGGGGAGGTACAATATGCTACTGCCCACAGCAGGACAAGCCATGATTTCTGACCTGGTCAATTGTTATTGTCGTCCAAATTTCATTTGACACTTGAGCTTGATTTTGTCCTCTTGCTGCTGCAGCTCCTCCACCACACATACACACTCCTCTTCTTCGGGCTGCTCTGCAATGGCCTCTTGCTCTCCTTCCATTCCTACACTCTAAAAAAAAAGGTTCTTCAGCTGTTCTTCAGGGGTTCTTTTCGGTGGTCATGCTGCTATATAGCACCACTACCATTTAAAGAACCTATTAAGCCCAGTTTGGTTTTTCAGCGGTTCTTCAGTGGTTCTCTACATAGCACCATATGACAAAGATAAGGCACTTAAAGTGGTTCCCCTATGATTACAAGCCAATGAACCACTTTTAGTGCTATTTAGCACCATTTGTTTTTAGAGTGTATGGCCTCTTTGATAGATACTTGCAAATAGCAAAACAGAGGTGGCATCTTTTTTAAGATGGATTAGGACTGATTGCTGATTGAAGAGTTGTGCAAACGAGTTTCACACAGGTGCATAGAGATTTATAACCATCAGCTGTGAATAGATGTTTTCCTTTTGTTCGACACAGTGAATCCAATAGTTTGGTGTCTTTCAATGAGATCTGTGGTAACTGTTTTGACAAAGGATGTGAAAAATGTGTTAAAACAAATGAAAAAGTGTTAAAACATTTGCAAGAGAAGATTTTTGCCATGCTAATAATGTGATGATTAAGATCAAGCGGATCCCAGTTTCATTTAGTGTGTCTTAGGCCTATATGAGAAAAACTGTTATAATACAGTCGGTATATTGAGAAATGTTTAAAATTACATTCATTTACTTTTCAGCCCTAAAAAATGTTATTCGTGACATAAAAAGTCATGCAAGACAGTCAATTAAATCATAAAATTTGAAAAATGATTGTCATTTCACAGTATTTTATTGTACTTTTTGTTTTTAGGATTTAGAAACAGTTTTTGTTAATATTATTTCAGCATAAAAAAATTGTAGAAGTGAAGTTGTTGTTGTTCATATAAACACACTGACACAGGCACTGAGGGTTTGAATATTGAGTTTATTGAGGAATGAAACAGTTTTCAATAGTTCCTCTATACAGTATGGCAGATCATTGTGTGTCTGTTATTATATCAGACTATTTTCTGCATGCGGTTAGAAGTGTTCAGAAGGGGACCAGAGGGTCAGTGCGGGGTTTAGGGTACTGGACTCCAGTCACAGACAGATCCCCTCCATCGACAGGGAGAGCTTGATATATATTCACATGAAGGTACTTATTATCCTCTGAGATCTTCACCTGAGACAGAAAGAGAAATCCATGTAAAACTCTGTTCATATTGATAGCGACCAATCGCATTAATTTTCCATGACACAGCAAACATATTTCCACGAGTTCTGCTACCGTTACCATTGCAGAGATGCATGTCCAGGAACGCTATACAGTTGAGCAAAGTTTTCTCTTATACTAAGGCAGAGAAACTTTATACAGTGACGGATTTTATCTTTCAATGGGACAGAAAAATGACACATCACACCCGTTTAGGACACACTGTCTGCCACAATTCACTTGTTGATTATAGAAACACACATATTTTGCTGAAAGTATTTCTGTGAAACAATACCAAACACTCATTTACCTTGACCAGATAGTTTTTTCCTGCCACAATCTGATGCTTAAAGGTTTCAGGAACGCAAACATCAAACTTGACTCCAGCCTGCTTCCCTGCCTGAATAAACACACACACACATCTTATATTCATCTAAATTACACCTTAAAAAGATTTAGTTTATTGGTCTCTAGTGAGGTACTTATATCAGAAAACTCATATGAAATGTTTTGTGACTTTAAGTGAAAAGTAAAACAGTACACATAAAAATAATACATTTTACAGCATCAAAATAGATAATTTTACTAGGCTGTGTTTAAACAAAAACACATTTACTATATGAGTGATTTTCTGTCTCTTACTTCAATGCAGATCTTCTTCACCTCTTCAGTGACAGGCGCCTCTTCACTCCATCCTCCAGGTCTTGGCTTCGCATCAGTCATTGTGCCGGTGTTCAAAGCTGGATAATAAACTGTATTATCAGGCAGTGTGTCTCACAGATTGATTCTGATCCACTATTTATGCTGCCAAAATCTCATGACATTATCGTCGTCATTGTAATTCCATGTACACACATAAAAGAGACTGAATGAATAGGTGGAGTTTTACTTTGGGCTGTTGTGTAATATTCAGAAAAACTGTTTTCTTCTGTGAAATAGAAAAGAAGATAATCTGAAGAACACTGGGAACCAGTTGAACCGATATTGGTGTCTCGAGTCACACAACTTTGAAACAACATGAATGTGACAGAATTGTTATTTTTGAATGAACTATCCCTTTAAAATGGAATCACAAAAGCATAATTTTTTCCTTTATTTAGTTAAATACAAAATATAGACCAATGTTTAACAGTTTAGAGAATCTGAGATAACATGTTTTCTATTTGAATATTTGGTAAAATGTAAAATATTCCTGTGATAAAAGCTGAAAGTTCAGCATCATTTCTCTAGTCTTCAAAGAATTGATGATGATTATTATTATTTTTTTAAAGAATCAATATCTTCTACAGATCATACATTTATAGAGTAAGAAATACAAACATTAAAAACTGCTTTTTGTGTACAGATACAGTGTGTGTGCTGATCATCTGATCATGAATTCTCCTTAAATATCATTATTAAATACAAATCTGGTTTGCATGATCTCTGTGTCAACAGGAGCGCTTCACTCTTCTAAATAAATCTTCTTTATTGGCATCGATGATTCATGAATAAACTTTAACATCCATGAACCTTTCTAACAAGAAGTTATTTATAGAAAAAATGTTATTTAGATTTTTACAAATGTTTTTCACTCTAAAAGAAGGTTCTTTTAAAAGCTGTTGACTGAACAGAAATAGTTCTTCTATCTGGCATTACTGTAAAAACATTTTGGAAGCTTTATTTTTAAAAGTTATCAAATGTTATCATTTGAAAAACGTTTCAGAAATCATTCTACTGTAATACGCTGATTTGCTGATCCAGAAGCATTTATTATTAGCCTATTGTCAATGTTTTTCCAGGATTATTTGAAAGATTCTTCACCGTCATAATAATGTGCGGGAAAATCACCCTGAACCTTATAGCTCGATTTATTTTCATTGTCATCACTTCGTTTTGTAGAAATTGTTTACACACACATGACTATGTAGTTCCCATAGAATAAATAATCAATGTAAAAATGAAACAAATTGCACAGTATTAGCCTATCAGTGTGAATCGTTGACGGTGACGAACGCAGCATTCATAGAAATAAAATAAAATATGATAATGTTTAAAATAGATTTTTTTTTAAAGTTCCCTCAGAAACAGTTCTTCCTCCGTGACACTGTACATGTTAACTGGCAAATGCAACTTTGTTTCCCATTACACCCAAACCACACTATGAATAATGAGGCTACTTCAGACTTTTTAACTTGCGTCGGGCGCAAGAGTCATTTATCCCGCCGTTAAATACAACAGCGCCAAGATCCGCCCACAAAGTTACAAACTTGACACTTTCGTTAAAGGGATAGCTCACTTTGAAATTAATTTTTGATATGTTTCAGCTTACCTCAAGGGCATCCAAGATGTAGGTGTCTTTGTTTCCACAGTATTTTCAATTTTGACATTTTTCGGTCAAACCGTTGTTGTCTGTCAGTCATATATTGCAGGTATGGGGGTCCGCCTCAAAGAGCATGCACAGAGAAGTCCAAATTATACATGATTTAATGACTCGTGAATGTAAGTACACATTGATGGCCTAAGACACGAAACGAGTGGTTTGTGTGAGAAAACGAACAGTATTTATATAGTTTTTACTTCTTGATAACAGCCGTCGAACTGATCTGAATCAGTTGTCCAACTGAACCGTTACCGAACTGAACCGCCGCCGGAAGTGGTCACGCAATGTTTACACAGAGATTTTGGGAGTTTTACCTTTTACAAAACATATTTACATATATCGAAATCGTCTTCCATTGCGATATCCCGTATCTAAATATGTTTAGTAAAAGGACCCGTACAACCAGCAACAGAATGGACGAAAGACCCGAAGCACTTCCACCTTTCACATAGCTACCCTGACAGAGTCACTCACCTGCTTATTGTATTCAGTGCCTATAACGTTACTGCCCACACAATGCAACGGAAGAGTTCAGAAGCTAAGTCATTAGAAGCTTATGAACAATTCTGCCGCGATTCGAACCCGGGTCTCTCACACGCACACCAAAGGTGTCTTATCCACTGCGCATCACCACCACACCAAGGGAAGAAATCTCCCTTTGACTGGAAATGAAAGTAAAAAATATGTTGGGAGTATGTCACATGTCTTTTTGTGTCACATGTCATAACAAAAGTGTTGTGGGATGTGTCTTTTCAGGACAGTTCAGTGTGTGTGTGAAGGAGTTTCAGGGAGTGCGTATGTACGAGGCGCGCCCCCCTTTCTTTCGTTTTTTACTCCCGCGAAGGATTGGGAAAAGAATGTGTGAGAGTGACTCGGTGAGATCGGTGCAGGTGGTTAGCTATGTGCAATGTATCAGTACAGCCAGTAAAATAAAGCACCTAAGGTCTTCGGCAACTAAGACGTCCTCCTTGACTTGCTGCCAACACACTACACAGCGTGAAGTTTAGGAAGTTAACCCTGGGAAGAGAATTTCCAGCCCTGGACAAGACGAATCTCCCCTGTGTTTCTCAACCACGGTTAGGAGGCAGAAGCAGGAAAGGTTAGCACAAACATCAAGTGCGTCATTCTTTCCAAAAAAGGGGAGAGTAAGTGAGGATAAAAAGGTCAGTACATAACATGTACCTAAAGGACATCCAAAACTCACTCCTCCAGTTGAGGTTGGGAAAAAAGTTGGCCCTTACTCCAATCTCTTAGATGCTGGAAAGAAGTCTCATGATCGAAGTAAGAGAAGAAAGAGAGAGAGAGAGAATGTGCTTGCATGTTCTCCCGCTTGTGGATTATAGTTATTAATAGTTTCATAAGAGGAATATACTTCTCTGTGCTTCTTGTCATGAGGACTTAACAATATGCCTACATGAAATTAGGGGAGAATAAAATAATGAAATAATCATCAAACTGAGCATCTATTTGTGAGAGAAGGTCAAAAGACTATACAATAAATAATAATTCAATATAGGCCTATTGTATGTACTGTATTTAAAAATACTATTACTTAACCTTAATAAAAACTTATTTTAACCCTCACATGCTTAATAATCTTCAAGGAAAACATGTTAAATGATTGCTGATTTCTGCCGTTATACCCTCTTTACGTTGTTTTCTAATTTCACCGAAATAATTTGTAAAATATTACTTAATATTTTATGTAAAATTACACATAAGTCTTTAAAATTATAGACAATTGTTTTTTTTAAAAAAAACATACAATTGATGTAAAACCAAAATACAAGCAATTATCTGTAAATTGAATAGTGGACTTTATGTATAATAACAGGCATTTAACTGTATAATGGCAAAATTTCATTTCAAATGTGTCTAAAATCATTAAGTGATAAAGCGTTATTCATTTATTACAGTAGCTAATGTGTTTTAGAATGACTGGAGATCTGGACGAATCAGCATCCAGGAACACAACTATCAGTTTAATAATAATGAGCACTTTTGCTCATGATACCAAATGACTGCGACAAAACCTTATTTTTCAAGAGCGCTTTATTAATATATTGGAACAGAAACAATAACTGACTAGAATACAATTTTTGTCAAAGTAGCTAATATGATATTTTGCTGATTTTCTTATTAATGATCAGCTGGTAAGGTCAATCATGAAGAAACAGATTGAAACATGCAGAAACATGTTTAACATTAAACAGGAATAAAGCACAAACTCATTATAGTATATTATAATGGCACACAAATCACATTTAGCAGAAAAAGTAATAAATGAAGTTCCTAAACATAAGTGAGCCAATCTAATCTTTCAATGAACAGCCTGAGTATATAAGCAGCCGCTCACCTCTCCCTAGCATCAGCTGTCCCAGAATCCCTCACCTCCCCAAACTCCACCTTCACCTTAGGTCTCTCGCCCTTTAATCATCAGGTCCTACATTTCACCACTGGGGGCGTCTATCCGAGCTGTCCAAAGCGGCTTCATCGAGCCCCTCTCCAGTGGACAGCAAGCCAAATAAGTTTATCCTAATAAGTGTTAATCGCATGCCATGGCAGACCTGATTCATTGCACTCAAACGAGTTGGAGATGACTTCACATTCCCTCAAGTGGCTTTATTTTGTGATACGATCGCCACTACAACATTAGACAGCCTGTGTTAAGTGATAACCGTTTTGAGTTTTGTGCCTAGAGTTTTAAAAAGTGACATCAAGGTTCTGAAAATAGTAGCAAAGTGACTGTAAAAAAAACTGTATTATAGCATACACTTTTTAGTAAAGAAAATGTGGTGTTCACATCTTCATATAAACACACTGACACAGGCACTGAGGGTTTGAATATTGAGTTTATTGAGGAATAAAACAGTTTTCAATTGTTCCTCTATACAGTATGGCAGATCATTGTGTGTCTGTTATTATATCAGACTATTTTCTGCATGCGGTTAGAAGTGTTGAGAAGGGGACCAGTCAATGCAGGGTTCAGGGTACAGGACTTCAGGCACAGACAGTTCCCCTCCATGCCACGGGAAAGCTTGAGATATCATTGCATAAACGCAAGTATTTCCCCCAGTGTACACCTGACAGAGAGAGAGAGAGAGAAATCCACATGGATTTATAATTTATTTCTTCCATGTAAAGGCCTGTTCACATTGATGGTGACCTAAACACATTCATTGTGCATGAGAGAACAAATTCCCTCAAATTCTGCTATGTCACAGTGACATTGCCGACTAGATTTGGGTGTGCAGCAACGCTGCAATATTGAGAAAAGTTTTCTCTTATGCAGAGAAACTTTATATGATTTGATGAATTTTAACTGTCAGAGAGGACGGAAAAAAGAGTGGACACATCACATCCATTCAGGACACACTGCCAAAGTTTGTTGATTATTGGAAATACAAATTGTGCCTTGGAAGAGTTTCAATGATCATTAAAACATCAAGCTCAAAATCCATGAAAAACAAAACACTCCTTTACCATGACCACATAGTTTATTCCTTCCTCAATCTGAAACCTATGGGATATTGGAATGAAAACATGAAAATGGGTTCCAACTGCCTTCTCTATGTCTGGCTTCACCTGTAACAAACAAACACACATTTGATATATTAATCTATATTATTATTATTATTTTAAAAGTGTATTATTCTCTTGGGAGTTACGTCTATTATTCAGAAATCAGAAAACTCATGTGAAATGTTTTGTGACCGCTTGAGTAAAAAATGTAAATCAGTCATTTTAAAAATGACAATTAATTTCCCCAGCACATTTCACTGCATCAACATATATAATTTTACTAGGCTATGTTTGCATAAGCAAACACATTTATGCATTTGCAAAACACATTTACCATTTAGTACATGAGTAATTTTCTGTCTCCTACCTCATAGAGGATCTTCTCCACATCTTCAGTGACAATCAATGGGCTCCATTCTCCAGCGACGGACTCTCCAGTAGTTTCTGTGAAAAACTTAATTGACAAAAAAAATAGGTATGAATGTTCCACAGAGGAGCATAACAACTTTGAAATAATATGAGGGCAACATAATTGTTATTTTTTAAACGAACTATCCCTTTAAAACAACCCCCCAAAAAACGTAATGAGTTTCGTATTGTATTTAGTAAGCAAAATACATACTAATGTTTAACAGTTTAGAGACTCTGAGATAAAGAACTACAACAAATAATAAACATTGTAAAAATATCTCATGGTTCGCTATCTTTGTGGAAGCTATCCATTTATGGAACTAGCTCCATATCCATAGACGTATGTTTTTATACTGTCCAAACTGTATGTTCTGTCCCCTACACTTAAACTCACCCATCACACAAAAGTTTCTGCATTTTTACATTTTCAAAAAAAAATAACTCATTCCGTATGATTTATAAACTTTAGTACCCATGGGTACCGCTGGCTGGTCCTTGGGGGACATTTGGTCCCCACAATGTAACACAAACACACGACCGGCTTGTAGTCTTACCCTTTTGAGGTCTTTCTGTGGTGTGACCTGAGAGGTAACGGCAAGGGCACAGAGCAAAACTCCCAGCAATCCCAGTACGGTGGTTGGCATGGTTACAGCAGAGGTCAGTCGGAGTGTGTGTGTGTGAATCTGGGCCTCGAGGAGCAAATTCTGAGCGGAGTCCCTCGACACACTCTTATATAGCGCAGCCCCCCGTTACATAAACACACGTCCCTTACACACAAGGCTTGTACCTTGGAACCTGTTTCATGGTTTGCGTTCTCAAGCCACCAGTAACTGTTTTATGCAAATGAGCGGCAGATCACATTGTGGGTTTTCCGCTAGAACAGTGTTGTGTAAGCGGCCCCTAAGTTAATATCTAGTGATCATTGCGACGGAAGTGAATCATTTAGAACTAACTTTAGCTGGACAATAACTTTATTCTAGAGCTGCTGTAAAGCCAAAACAATCTCTGCTACTTTAATTTCCTATTATTGCTGTAAACCTGCTTTGTTTGAGCCACCAAGACAACAGAAAAGACAACATCGCGACCGTTGCGCTAAGCTTCCCTCGCATGTCACAACTCACCCGTCACGTTCTCCTTGGAGTCATAAGCATCTGAGGTTGCTTCTCCCACTATGTCTTCCGGTCTGCTCATTCGTGCCGCCAACTAGCCTCACGACAGTTCTGGCCAGTGAGAGTGGAGACTCCATCCCCTGCCGCCGGCTCCCAGCTGCCGCCGGAAATGTGTTCCCCAGTGAGCCTTCTAAGAAAGTGGCTATGCAGTTCATTATCGCTGTGCGCAGGCTCAAGTTCAGTGATTTTCGTCACACTTAGGGCCAATCCCAATTCTACCCCTTACCCCTTCACTTTCCCCTTCCCCTCCGTTTTGCGCGTCCACGTGAAGGGGTAGGGCTGTCCCAATTCTCTTTTGGTTGGAGGGGGAGGGCTAAGGGAAAGGGCCAGATAGCCCTTCAAACGAAGATTTTTCGGGAGCACACTTCAAACGAAGGGGTATGAGAAGTGTCACTGCTAACCCAGGCTACAGACGCAAAATGGCTGCCCAAGCAAAAAAAGGAGACCCATAAATGTAAGTATTTGTGGCTTTAATAAGTATTGTAGCGACAAATAATGACTTGCTTTATGTTACATTCAATATTGTGTTCCTATTTACGGTCAGTTTCTTCACAGAAACGTTTGTAAAAAAAATCGCTAAAATTACTGTAGTTTGCTAACGATAGTCCCGCAACATATTTTCGTCGTCTCCGTTGTTTCCTGCGAACTTCACAAGATAAATGCAAGAAAATAGCTGTAACCCACACGACTGAAATAACTGCAGCTGTTGACGGCATCTTGGAAGTTGTGATAAACATCGGCGCATCTCCTGTGACGTAGGCGCAAGCGACGACTTATAATGACGTTTAACGGAGGCGAAGTGGTGTCCCATTTCTTAGGGGAATATTTTCACCCCTACGCATTGCCACTCTGTTTCAAGGGTCAAGGGGAAGGCGAAGGGGTAGGGCTAGGGGAAAGTGAAGGGGTAAGGGGTAGAATTGGGATTGGCCCTTAAGTGTTGAGTGGAGATGCTCCTGAGTTCAGTGATCTTCACATGTAGTGTTGAGCAGTGCTCGCATGTCGCTTGCACCTATTGTACTAAAGTCAGGAGTGGAACAGGACTTGATACCAACCAGACCTAGTTCCCCTCGAGTACATTTCAGGGAATGGGCATGATGGCACCCGCGTTCAACCCCTGGATGCGGAGGTTCAGGTGGCTACTGCAGGAATATCTGGTAGTTACCATCACTTCAGTGAGCACTCCCTGAAAAGAGGAAGTTGTGCTTACGCCCAAATAGAAGTGGAACCTATTCGTTGAGTGAGTTTTCTTTCCATTGTGAAGATCCTGAGAGCGTTCGATCATTTCAGCTCCCCTCTTTACCATCTTGGGCCAGCCCTCCTACGGACTGGATAGGTTCGCCATTTTGCTCAAGTATAGTTCCCTTAACCCGAACCCTGTTGAGTTCCTCCACACCCCTCTGACATCGGACGTGGCAAAACACCCAGGGCCCTATTTTAACGATCTGAAACGCAAGTGTCAAAGTTTTTGGGCGGGTCCCGGCGCTGTTGCTATTTTCCCGGCAGGATAAATGCCTCTTGCGCCTGGCGCAAATCTAAATGCGGTTGGTCTGAAGTAGCTTCATTATTCATAGGTGTGGTTTGGGCGTAACGTGAAATAAACCAATCCGAGCGCCATCCAACATACCCTTAAGATCAGCATGTTGCATGACGGATTGTTATTATAACGGCGGGTTTACCAGGCGCGCGCCAGGAGCGTTCACAGCCGAGGAGACCGATGCTCTCGTCAGGACAGTGAAAGACAGAGAGGTGACGTTGTATGGGGATGGGAGAAACCCTCGCACATCAGCGTTGGTTAAACATTATCTACGTATGTTTCTTGCCACTATTGGGCAAAGAGATCTGATCCTTCAGTACTACAATTAGCCTTAAAAAATGGGTAACTATATTTATAAAAACCTATAGGTTTTTTCATCTTCATGTAAACCACAATGATTTCCCTCATGTGTTAATATTTTTCCTTGTTATAATGTATGATTTGCAAGAATAAAAACTACTGCATCTGTGTTGATGAGTGTATGTGCGATGTGCACCTGCTACATTATGGCCAACCATGCGCGCTTAAAATAGCATTATGAACAACGCGCAACGCGCCACTGACTTTAGACCAGGTTTTTTCTGGTCAGTGGCGCAATTGTTTTCTGGAAGTGTAAAATAGCACCAGGGAATGTTTGCCACCCCAGTGACATCCCATATGTTGTACTGCCCGGTCTCCGCCAAGTTCATATGTGTATTATCCACGTTACATCCCTTCGGGCAGAATGTGGTTTCCGCAGCGACCCTTCCTTCCAACATGACATCATGACTTTTGCGTAAACATACACGCCACTTTCGAGTCAAGTGGCGTGTTATCTCTACGCATTTTGAGCTATCCGCGTGTATCCGCGTGTTTGCGTGCATGTCTATGCCATTAACGTCCGCGTCATTCCGCGTGTCTGTACACGACGTCAAATCTCCAGTCATAAATGCCATTAACCCCAGTGACGGTTAGGTTTAGGGACGAGGTTGAGGTAAGTCATATATTTATATAACGTTATGTCAACGGCGTTCATAAACACGCTGAAAAGCAATTATGCGTCTTGATAGCACGCCAAAAATGGAAATACGAATTGGCGTGTCATACTCACGCTACTTCATGAGATCAGTCTGCAAAATTCCATGTCAGGGAACGCTTTCCCAGTGGTCCTGTAGGAACAGCAGTGACTTCCCTGGGCTAAAGCCCTGTCCCTTCTCCACCCTAAATTGCAGGGGGCTCAAGAGGCTTTTGTCTAGGCACTGGAAGGTGGCAGCTTTAGTGGCATTTTCAATGGTTGATCCCATTTCAGTCGACGTCAACTACGTCTGACGTTCTCAACTGAAAGGGAACGTCCCGGTCCATGCAACCCACCATGAAGGAGGGAACGGAGAACATAGTCCCCTTGCCACTACCGCTGGACCACCGCTGACACTGAGTTAGAGGTCTTCACGGGTCCACTTGGTCCACTCGAAAGCCTGAGGTCCAACCCGAGCAGGTTCGGGTCCAAAACACTTACTAGTTTCTCGCACACGGGTCGGGTTCGGTATTAGTGGCCTCACGGGTCCACTTGGATCGAAAGCCTGAGGTCCGACCCGAGACCCGAGCGGGTTTGGGTCCAAAACACTTACTAGTTTCTCGCACACGGGTCGGGTTCGGTATTAGTGGCCTCACGGGTCCACTTCGATCGAAAGCCTGAGGGACAACCCGAGACCCGAGTGGGTTCGTGCCCAAAACACAGACGAGTGTCTCGCACACACGGTTCGGGTTTGGTATTAGTGGCCTCACGGGTCCATTTGGATCGAAAGCCTGAGGTCCGACCCGAGACCCGAGCGGGTTTGAGGCCAAAACACAGACGAGTGTCTCGGACACGGGTCGGGTTCGGTATTAGTGGACTCGGGTCTCGGGTATTTTAAAATAAACATGCCTTTTCCAAACGGACCCGAGAAGACCCGAATTATTTTAAAATATGTTAAGAATTTTAACAAAATTGCCGTATTTAAAACAACTCTATGACACCGTTCTCTGACTTTTTTTAAGTGAGAGAGAGCGAATCTATAAGCATAAGCACGGTTGCCTCCGCATTTTTTTACTCAGTTGCTCGCTCCACATAAACCAACCCCTCCGTTTGCCAAGAAGAACTAGTGCGCCATCATGTGGATGGATGTTTGACTACATGCAAGTATTTAAATTGTCGTTAAGCCAGGCCTGTCTGTCAATTTTAAAATACGACACAAACATGGAGGCAATAACAGACATTGCGAAAAAGGTGAGGGAGAATTTGATTGAAAATCTGTTATAGGCTACATTTTAAAAACAGCCATCGGTAAATTTTACTCTGTGGTGGTTCCAATCATCATATGGTGCGGTAAATAACATTAAAAATAACCAATTTTTATAGGAAGTAATGGGTTGTTACAGTGATGTGTGATTGACATTTTAGCACTGAGCGCGCTTACACTTGCGTCTATGTTAAGTGCATTTTTGAGAAACGCAGAGCTGCAGGCTGTGCACACTGTAAATGCTGTTTCCGTTCGGGTCCAGTCGGGTTCTAAAGGAAATGGCTTCAGGTCGGGTCGGACTCGGGTCTAATTTTATCGGGTTTGTCTCGGGTCGAGTTTTTCTTTTAAAAAAATTATTTATGCACGTCGGGTTCGGGTAAGTAGTGATTCGGGTCGATTCGGGTTGGGTACAGTTTTTAGAAGACCGAGAAGACCTCTACTCCGAGTTATGCTCGGCTCCTCGGCGAAAAGCAAATGGTGCGTGCATCTACTTCTGTATTTATACCCGCGCTGCAGGGCGGAGTGTGAGATCCATATCTTGCATGCCAATGTGCATCGGCTCTCTCCAAGATAATCGAAGACAATAGGCTCCCTAGCGTGATCCCATTTCAGTCGACATCGACTACGTCCTCCGTTACCTCCTTCTTTTTGACTGGAATGAAGTAAGAAACCATGGATGACAGCCCATTCTCACCCCCAAGGCGTCACTTAACTGACGCTTTAGGCGCCCTTTAGCGTCAGTCAGATGACGCCCTAGGATCGCGTGTACCCTACCCCCACCCCACACCTAAACCTAACCGCGTCCTCTAACTGACGCTTTCCTTTAGCGTCAGTTAGATGACGCCGTAGGATCGCGTCATGTAAGTGACGCTAAAGGGCGCCTAAAACGTCAAATATTGAAGCATGGTCAAAGGTGACGCCTTGGGGTGAGAATGCGTTGTGGATGATGGTTTACAATGATGTGATTGTGAAGCCTACAGAATATTTAGCAATAAAAACAAGCATACATTTTTTTTTTTATTAAATCAAATATCAGATTAAATCAAATGTTGAGTAATGTAGCGCTTACAGTTTATAAAAAAAAAAAAGATAAATGAAGAATAAAACAAGCTCCAGATTGGCAGAAAGAAAAACGTGGAGCAGACACGAAATATACTTCCTCTAGAAATACATTAGATTGAAAATCGAGTGTCACGAAAAAGTGGAAATTGGTGTTCAAGTTCATGAATCAATAGACTAAATTTCGTGACTATGTCACAAACTGCCGTGAGGTTAATTGTACAACAGTTGGCACAGAGCCTCTTAACTAGAGGCTACACACACACAGACACACACACACAGGGATCCAAATGTCAGAGATTACAATTGGAAATCTTTTCTTTCTTTTTTGCGCAAAAAAAGGTTCTTTCAGCATATTGGGTTGTTCCAATTAAAACATCTTCAGCATAACTCGAAGAATGTCTGACCTTCTGTGCAGAGAGTCACATGAGTAAAGACACTCGTTTACATGATTTACATTTCATTCATCACCTAAAAATAGTGCATGTCCTAACACTAGGTTGTGTTACATTAATCAAAATAATAAACATTTCAATGTTAAAAATTTAACCAACAAAAACTTTGTAGAGAAATAAATTGTGCCAGCTTTTTAGAGAGGGTGACATCGCTAATCCAAGACATCATAAATATGTTTCCAAAGAGTTAATAAGTTAAAAAGTCATCTGGCTTTTAATTTTTAATTTACAAGGAAGCAATGGGCTCTATGCACGGCGGTATTTCCGGTGAAGCATTAGGGATGCTCGATAACTTCCGCCGATCATAGAGTCCAATGCAATACCGAGAATTTATATTGAATTTTATACTCCATGGTTATACTAATGAAACGTTAGTCACAAAAACAGATAAAACAGACCCCCCTCGTTGTGTTTATGCTTCTTTTTAAAATTATATTAAATATTAAATAAACATAACTATATATAAAATTACATCTAAACGTATGTACGTTTCGTTTCAAAGACGGGAGGACAGTAAATATTGAAGACTCTGCCATAATCCCGTTTTCTCCGGTTTTCCTCCGCTTTAATCTCCACAACCGGAAATGGACGAGCATCCTTACGTCAAATGCGAAATTTATGCGTGCATATAGCCCATTCAACTGCAAGATCCTATCAATATGGGCCAAGAATGCTTTCAGCTTGTTGAATCAATGCCACGTTCTGTAGGCGGAAGGGGGTCAAACACAGTATTAGTATGGTGTTCCTTCCTTATAATCCTTTAGGTGACTATATATATATATATATATATATATATATATATATATGTGTGTGTGTGTGTGTGTGTGTGTGTGTGTGTAGCCCAAAGTGTAAATCATTTAAATGCTGTTTTGTTATTAGAATCTGTTACTAATACAGACACTTAATTTTGAGTCATAGCCTATTATTTATATCACCGGCTATATAATTCAATTTGATCATTTTAGTTGTTTGGTATGCCTGCAGAAATTTTCTGTAAAATTTTACATGCATTAATTCATGCCTGTTAAAAACAAACATAATACTAATGTCTGGGTGAAGTTATGCAGGCTATATGAGAAAGCAATAGAGAATGAGAAAATAAATGATCACCACTGAAACTTTATTACGGTAGCCTACAGATAGCTTACATTAATACAAATTATCAAATTAAATTTTAAAAGACCCAAGCAAAATCGAAGTATAATTAAAACAAACAAACATACGAACAAACTCGCAATAGTACTCGCGTATCTTAGCTCGATGAAGAACGAGTCAACAATGAAGGTCTCGGTTGCTGGATGTCGCCAAGTTCAAAAGTTTGACAACCTCTGCTTCTGCTTTGGTTATTTTTGATGAAATGTGCTATAAAGGTAGCTTGTCACCGATTCTCACAACATATGACATGCACAGTCATTTTAAATGATCGAATTATGAATTTTAATTGGTTGCAGACCATAAAGTTCATGTAAGCTCTTGCAGAAACCGCATTCTGCATTTCACATTAGCTTATTTTGTGAATCCCTGTTATTATACTCTTCTTCCATCATCAGTGTGGTCAATGCTCGATCAGGAATTTATCGTCTAATCGTCTATTTCAGAGTGTGTTTCAGTTAGTTGAAAAAACATACATGAGCAACAAATCATGTGTCGCTGGATCCATTTATGGTGTCAAAATCATATATGGCATTTAAACAAACAAAGTCTATCATAAACAATCCAATATTTATTGAGTCTTTGTGAAATATATAGATACATCTGTTAGATTTGACAAATGCATTTTGGTCTGTGCTGTAATTTTAACAGTCAAGTGTTGTATAAATTCATACTCATGGTCTTGTAGGTCCATCACAGAGCTGAAATAAGCTTCATTCCTCCAGAAAGTTTTGTGTTCGACTCTTTCTGTTCACAGACCTTCCCGCTGAAGCCACTCGCTGAATCCTCCGGCGTAATGACGGGCCCTGAGAGACACACAGAGACACGGATGCCTGACTTTTGTCGTTTGTGAGTCAGGGAGGATGAATACGATGAATGATCATGACTTGCTTAGGTTTTTCTGAATATGGGATGATCGTAAAAATAAAAAAAAGCATTTAAATATCTTACCAAGACGTATTATTGGCAGATATAGAGAGAACTGATGTTTATATGCATTTATGTAAGCATCTGCTGTACTGTTACGAAAATCTCATTGATTTACATTATTACAAGCATCAGAATTTCATCTTTCTTTTTGACCATATAAATATCAGCATCTGCAGCAAAATGAGAATTTCAGCAGCAATTGCTAAATAGGTGTTATATTGTCTCTTTAAGTGTGATATTCTCACTATATCATGAGTTTTATGAAAAGGTTTTCTTTGTAGTATGTCGTCTGATTGGCTCCTGCAGGCTGATTGATGCTGTGTCCTGCACAGTATTTTTTTTTTTTTTTTTAGTTTAGTTTATTTCATCATCACTTCCTGTAGAGACCGCTTGTGTTTTGAGCAGGGAGAGTTGCATTGGAGGCAGAGTTTGTGTGTGTGTGTGTAGAGACTGTGAGTAATGTTGTTTGTGTTTGGTGTCTTTTGCTTATTTTCTGACACTGATTTCAGATTGCCCTCTCAATTTGTCAATAACACTTGGCCCTGTAAATAAATTGTAAACATTTAGGATAGTAAAGTAAGGAGTCTGATTGGTTAACTGTGAACTTTTCTGGCGAGGCAGTTTAGCACTTTTGATTCAGATTCAGATTATTTTATTTCATGCCATGTCAGCAGTCAGAGCTATTTTCATGGCAAAAAATTCATTTACAAAAATACAAATATCATATAAATACAACAAAAACAAAACAAATATAAACAAGAAGTCATATTATACAATATATATTTTTTAATTAACATATGATAAAAAATCCAGAACCTTTTCAGGCATAATCTCATTAAATATGTCCTTCAAAGAAGTAACTTCATAAAAGAGCCTTCCAGGACAATCTAATAAAAAAATGTTTGACAGATAAAGGAATTTTACAAAACATACATAATTTGGGTCTTCACCTTTAAGCAAAAAAGCATGGGTCAAACTTGCATGACCCATACGGCATCTGGTGTTAGCACTTTTGAAACGCGTTTCATGAAGATTCAAAACCTTTGCGAATCATTTGTTTTGAACCAGTGAATCAAAGTGTATCAAGCTGCCAAAATCACATGATTTCAGAAAATGAGGCTTCATTACGTCATACTTTTTGAAATTTCTATAATCTCTGTAAACTTTGTACAGAGTAGTTTATACATTGTAGTTAAAGGTCACTCATTGATTTACTGATGCTTAATAATAACCAAACTCTCCATAAAAATTAATTAAAATTTAATAAAATGACACATATTATAAAGACACTTCATATTTAAATGGTATATGATGATTTTTGCATCTAATAGATTTCCTTCACATCTGCAATTGTTTTGTAGCCTTTTTTTTTTGCGTGTTGAGTTTTCACTGCATTTACACTGTTCTGGCCAGCAGGGGACGCCAGTGTGTGCCGATTTAAAATGGATTCAAAGTTTCAAAAAGTTTTGTTTCTCCCATTATTAACACCATTGTGTTGGTGCATTGTATTTTCTTTTTGTTAGATTTAGGAAAGGGTGATAAAGCTAAGAACGTTTTATTAGTTATTTCGGCTTTGTCATGTCTTTCATGTTACACCCTTTTCCCCAGACGGGACGCAACAATGTGCTATAGATGCCTGATGTAGCAAATATGATCCGAAAATCTTTGCAAACTATTTATTTATTTTTTTTTTTTTAAAGTTTCAACAAATTGTTCCAAGTTTAAAGTTTGTATGTGTGTGCCTGCCTGTTTAACTGTATTTTGGGGCAAATTTGTACCCAGAAGTGACCAAAACCTACCTTTAAGGCCGTCCGTTTGTAAATCTGGTATAAAAATAAAGTAATTCAAGGTTTTTTTTGTTTGTTTTTTTGTGCATAAAGTTGAATAAGGGGTTGGGTTAGTGTAAAGGGGGGGAATATACAGTTTGTACAGTATAAAAACCATTACATCTATGGAATGTCCCCATTTAGATAGCTAAGTAAATGTGTGTGTGTGTACCTTGTGTATCCCAGAGCTCTAGCGGTCTCCAGCGCGGTGAGGCTGCGTAGTCCTCTCACACAGTACAGCACAAAGTCTGAGTCTTCTTTGTGAGGCTTTGTGACGCCGTAGCGCTCTCTAAACTGATCTGGGCTCAGTCTAAGGGCCTGCTCCACCTCGCTCACTACATCAACAAAAGAAATGTCACTCATAAAGTAAGTGTGTGTGTGTAGAGCTGAACTGTGTGACTTACAAACAATGTTGGTTGCTCCAGGAATAAACCCTGCTTCCAGCTCATGCGGCTCGCGGACATCGACGAGCTGGACGCTTCCAGAGGACATCATGAGCTTCAGCTGCTCGTACGTCACCACACCATCTGAAACACACATCTACTGCTGATCATTCATATCAAGAAGATGTATTAAATGATTATTCACTTTTAAAATAACCTTTGATAATAATTTACTCGCCCCCATGTCATCCAAGATGTCCACGTCTTTCTTTCTTCAGTCGAAAAGAAATGAAGGTTTTTGATGAAAACATTCCAGGATTTTCTCCATATCATTCAAAGACCGAAATGACTCGAAAAAAGATTCGTTCGTTTTGATGAACGAGTTCAAACAGGAGAGTCACGAACGCGCATCACAGAACAGAGCAAGGCGAGCATTTGAGCTTATAAAAGTTAAAAATTTGTATTTATTTTTTTAAATGGCCGCCCGTTTCACTTGATAAGACCCTTATTCATCATATGGTGTCGTTTAAAGCACTTTGAAGCTGCACTGAAACTCTCATTTGGACCTTGAACCGTTTGGACCCCATTGAAGTCCATTATATGGAGAAAATCCTGGAATGTTTTCATCAAAAATCTTAATTTCTTTTCGACTGAAGAAAGAAAGACGTGGACATCTTGGATGACATGGGGGCGAGTAAATTATCAGCAAAAGTTTTTTTTAAAGTGAACTACTCCTTTAAGTCTGTTCTATCTATGATCCAGTCATCATTACACACTCATCACTGGTTATTGATAAATCCAGATATATGAACTACAGCAGCTCTGAAAAGGTGATTTGCCAAAACTACATCTATTGCTTTATTTCAAACCTAACACATTTTGTTGGGGGTGATTGGTAAATATATATTTTTTAAAGAAGAAGCCTCTTCTGCTCACCAAACCTGTATTCATTTGATCAAAAACACTGTAAAAACTGTAATATTATGATATTATTGCAATTCATTTTCTACCTATTCCTGTCGTCAAAGCTGAATTTTCAGCATCATTAATCCAGTTTTCAGAGTCACATGACCCTTCAGAAATCATGATAATATGAAAATTTGCTGCTCAAGAAACATTTCTGATTATTATTATCAGTGATAAAAACAGTTGTGCTGTTTGATATTTGTCTGGAAACTGTGATCATTTTTTTTTAGGATTCATTAATTTAATAGAAAGTTTGAAATAACTATTAGAAATATTTTAAACATTATACGTCTCTTTTATTGTCCCTTTTGATGCTTTCTTAAAAGGTACTAATTTCTTTAAAAAGCTATTGAAACAATAAATCTTGCTGAATCTAACACTTTTGAATGGCAGTGTGTGTTGTTTCTAAATACTTTACGGGAGAGTTTATTTAGATCTAAACTTGATTCTAGTGGTGATGGTTTATCATTCAGGCCATCGTGAGTGTAAATGTGTCTAATAATGTCCTAGAAAAAAGAAAATTCAGCTCATTTAAACCAATAAAGAGAAATCGATTTATATTTAAATCAATATTGTGACTCCCCAAAGAATCAATTCTTAAAATCCTTATTTTGCCCTGTGGCCCTGATAAACTGTGCAGAGCTATCAAAAAATGTGTGTAAACTCACTGGAATCTAGATTTCCACACACATAATGTTGATTCAGTGACTTCATTATCATCACGTGTGTCACAATATACTCACTCACAGTGGGAAACTGGCTTGTTAAGTTGGTTTTTACTAACTATTTAAAGAGTTCAGATGCAAAAGCCTCTAAATGCCATTTGAAATTTTCTTCTAAAATGACCATTTTTATCAAGCTTGTATATTTAAGTTCAGTAATTTCACTTAAATAACAATTAATAGGTAATCTTCATTGCCATTTAAGTGAAATTACTGAACTTAAATATACAAGCTTGATAAAAATGATCATTTTAGAATAAAATTTCAAATGGCACTTAGATGCTTTTGCATCTGAACTCTTCATTTGTTTTCTTCAAAAATAAAAGCGTATAGCGCATTAATATGATATTGTTATTAATAGGATATTGCCATTTTATTACTATATGTTGCCAGCAGTACCTTCTGAAATACCAGTTTAAAGTGTTTGTATAAACTTCAGAGCATTTATATTCTATATGTCCCTCTTAAAGGCCCACAAGTGCATGAACTTTAATATGCAACTATCTGGAATTCTCGATATTTAATGCAAAATGATTGAAAGTGACGAGATGCTAATTTCCATGGATACAGAGATCCATAATTTCTAGTAGTCACATGAGGCATGCCTTTTTCTAATAGCATAGATCAGACTTGTTATTACAAAGATTGTTCATGATGCAACATTAAGCCTTTATTGGTGACCCATGAGTCACTAACCCTACGTGCAAACTCGCATGCTGTATCCTACATGTAATAAACACGAAATAATTTTGCTTTGAATATAGCCCAGTGATTATTAACTTGATGAGAAAACTCTTTACCTGTATTTAGAGGTTGGTTGTTAGAAGTTTCAGTCCATTTATCGCAGTTGTCAGCTCCGTTATCACACTGATTCGCTGACACAGACAGAAGCAGGAGCGCCACGAGAGCGCGCACACCTGAACTCACGCGCTTTACTGTATTCATCCCTATCTTGTCTAATAAAGATCGATGCGTGGTCGTGTACAGATAGAATTAAGTTTGACCATATATCATCTACGACTGAGGCGAATAATACACGGATCTGAGAGTCACTGACAGCGTTTATTGTGAAACATGAAGTGTCTTTTTCCTCCAGGTGGCGCTCAGTGGCTCAAAAGCCACATTCATTTCTGTCGCTTTTATTTGTACTTCTGCACTAGTCTGGACAAATATTTAACTCTTTAGGTTAACTCGCTAAGGAATTTTAATAGCATGTCAAACAGGAACGTTTACATTGTGAGGTAAAATTGTAAAAGTTGTAAATTCCATTGGACTTGACCAATCAGAGCGAACGCCTGGGCTACTAAGTCCCGCCCCCAATTGTTTTTTTCCTGCTCATTTTTGGGATCGTCCTCCCTCAGATTAAACTAAAAAGAAAAGTGGAAAGAAACATTAGAGATCCAATATTATATTTCATAAATATAATTAACTTTAAAAACTAACAACATTAACTTTATATATGATTTAGCAATATATCATGTTACGGTTTTAGCCTCATTTTATATATATATATATATAAAAAAAAAATTATCCTCCCCCGCCTCTAAACACATGGTATGTTCCGGTGACGATGGCTCATAGTCATATGATCTAAGCAGCATAAATACTGTAGCAGTATCAGTGATTTCTGCGAATTTGACTGTCTAAAGTTTAAACACGCACTTTTTTACATCTCGACAACGACACATTATTGCAATGGCCACCAAAAAGGTTATTGGAGGGCCTTCCGAGGAGAAGAAAGCCACTCCAGAAGTGCAGAAGATCTGTGATGAGGTGAGATTGTTTTACTTTTGTTTTGATGGCGTAAATCAGCTGACGTAGGAGTGCACGTGTTTATTTATTAGTTCGTATTAGCTATTTATTAGTAGTACCGTATTCAGAAGTTTATACGTTATTTTGATATATGTACGTACAATATTAAACTAAATAATATACAACTATATTAAACAGCCAACCAGCTTAATATTTAACTTGTATATTTCATTATATGATATTAAATTAACTTGCATTGTGTGGTGTGTTATCGTCAAAGAGACAATTATTCAACTCTCAATTTTGCCTTAACCTGATATACGTTGACAATAGTGCAAAGTTAACCAAAAAAAAAAGAATTATATACTCAGTCTCTAGACTCATGAGAATCTCTATATTCCCACCAAACACAATAAATACAGATTCAGCTCCACTAATCTTCAGTAGGTGTTGGTCTGAGATGGGTGTGGCACGGTAATTCATCATATACTCTGTGTGAAAGAGTTTACTATTTTTATTTTTTAATGTAGCATAAGAATATATAATAATGTAAGAGTAAATATTACACGCATATCAAGAGCATGTCTGTATCAAAAGGGGGAAAATAAATTATATTTTTATTAAAATTCACTATTTACACTTTGTTCTGACCTCACTTCAAAGTTGACAAATTAATGTATTTCTCTGTTCACACCTGCACACAAACTAATCCATTGGTCTGAGATGGGTGTGTCACAGTAATTCATCATATACTCTGTGTGAAAGAGGCTTTTTCAGTTGGTTTCACTACTTTAAATTATAATGGAAGAGTGAATATCACAAGCATGTCAAGAGCATTTCTGGATCAAAAGAGGGGAAAAACAAAATATATTTTTATGAAAATGAACTGACTATAGTGCAAAGTTAATACAAATGTATGTACATGTCATAGTCTAGACTCATGAGAATTGCTATATCAATAAATCCTGATTCAGCACTGAATGAATGACTCATCTTCAGTAGGTGTTGGTTTGAGATGGGTGTGGCACGGTTCATCACATACTCCCTGTATTTTTTTTTTCACTTAGTTTTTACTACTTTTCTTTTTTTGGTTTAATAAATGTTGCATTAGAATATGTAAGAGTGAATATCACAAGTATGCCAATAGTATTGTTCATGCATCAAAAGAGGGGGAAAAAATAATTATATTTTCTAAAAATGAAGTGACAATAGTACAAAGTACAAAGTTAGCAATCTAGGTATTAGTTTATATGTCATAGTCTAGATTCATTAATCTGTATTCAAACCTAAACACAATTATATTACTAATCTGTTGATTTGAGATGAGTGTGTCGCAGTAATTCATTTGTAAAAGGCTTTTTCAGTTGGTTTTTACTTTAATATTTAATACATGGGGGAATTGAATATCACAAGCATGATTCAAAAGGTTCAAAAGATATATATATATATATATATATATATATATATATGAAGCAAATTTTCAGACCAGATTTTCAATTAACCACATTTGCATTAAATCTGCATCTTTTGTTTCAGGTCAAGTCGGCTGCAGAAAATAAGGCTGGGAAGAAGTTTACCGTTTTCATTGCCAAATCTTACACCACACAGCTTGTGGCCGGGACCAACTATTTTATCAAGGTAAACTGGTTTTGTCATGTTCCAGCCTGCATATTATGTGAGTGATATGTGCTGAAAGTGTATTTAAAGTGTCCTATCACCCTCTTCAGGTGGACGTGGGAGGAGACTTCGTCCATCTGAGGGTTCATAAATCACTGCCTCACGCTGGAGAAAAACTAGACCTGCACGGGATTCAGACCTCAAAATCTCAGCAGGATCCCATTGAATACTTTTAAATCTGGTGTCTCATTCCCTTTCTTCACATACTATACACTTCCATACTGTATAGGTTAATGTGATCTGCTCAATGCTGTTACAAAACTATTATCCAAATGTATATTAAAATGAACCCAATACTGTGCCTTATATTATTTGGATTAGTTTTATTCGATCTTTGTCCAGTTTTACAAAAGTTGTATTGAGGTGAAAGAATTGCACATGAATACTGTACGAGTCATCATTCCAGATCTGTTTTTATAAAAGATGCTGCTTCTGAAATAAAGGGAAATTTCACATTTCAAGTGTGTTTTTATTTACACCTCCAAAAGAATGTGCCAGTAACAGTGTTGGGTAAGTTATTCCAAAAAAGTAATTAATTACTAGTTACTAATTACCTCTTCAACAGTGTAATTAGATTACTGTACTAATTACTCTCTCTAAAAAAGTATTTAATTACTTTTAATTACTTTCAAAATCCCATATCAATCTCAACCAGCTGAATGATTCAAGGATAGACATGAATCTGTTTTAATTCTTTCAAATAAATACTATAAAATTGTATGAATTATCCTTAAAAAGGTTACATTATAAAAATATACTTTTTAGCATCAGACAATACATTTTGATGTTAAACCCACTATTGTTTTGTGTCTGATCTCATGACATTTCACACTTTTTTCATACATATTTTACAATAATTTATACGAATTTGTACGAGTGCGGTCTAAATATTTAGACACCTCATAGAACGCATAGGAATCGCTGTGAGATCGGATTTATACACAGTATTTACCTCGATTACATCAGAAGTAACTGTAATTAAATTACAGATAAATGAAGAGTAACCCCTTACTTTACATTTTCAATGGAAAAGTAATTAAATTACAGTAACTGATTACTTAGTAATAAGTTACACCCAACACTAGCCAGTAATAATAACATCGCCAGCACACAGTACAACTACTGTATGTATGTATATATATGGTATATATATTTGGAGAAGCTAGAAAATCTTTGAGGCTTCAAAGCAAAAAGACAGACAGTTTTGTGTCTATTCCTGAAATATCAGCTGGAATATTAGTCTCAAATAATAAACATAATCACAATTAAAAACTTTGCAATACAGCTGCATAAATCATAATGGAGTACACCCTTTTTGTTCGGTCTCTTTCTATCCATCTATCTATTTCGTTCTGTCGTTCTATGTTAAGTTTGCATTCAGCTATAGCAACTATAAAATGCTTTTTAAGCATAAAAGCAACAGGAACATTGTCACGGGAGCTTCTGAAAGACGCATGATTAATCACACGTGAAGCATTACCTCGCCTCACTGAGTCACACTTCTAAACCTTTACATGTTTTACTATTATGTTACATTTTTATAAAGCCAAAAGGAGTTAATTTATTTATACTACACCCCCTTTAGAGTTTTTCTTTAATGTCTGGTTATTCCTGCTATTTTGGGACTAAAATATGTTTTGATAAGATACCTAACCCAATGTGATTTCTTGAAAGTCTAAGATAATTCATATTTTTAAAACCTTTGCATAAAGATATTTGTGATATAGTTGCACAAATTCTGAGAGAAAGTACTAGATGGCAAAAAACTGGCACACAGCTTGAAACCATAATGCATATTAAGCTTAAAATAAAAAGGAACTTGAGCTGACATGTGTCTAAAAGAAAATCTTGATTAATCACACTCAAAACAATTTAACATAATGCTTTAGTGTTAAATTGCCAATGCTGGCAAATGGCCATGTTGTAAAAAAGCGATTTGAATGCACTCACGCAGGTCTGTTAAACATATATGGTGAAATGTTGGCCCACATGTGCTCAGCCATGTCAGCTATTTGCCACATTTGGCCCAAAAGTTCATGCTATCTGGGTTGCCTCCACCTCATGCACTATTACTGTTTGCACTTGTTGTGGATTATCCATTATAGGCCAGTTAACATGTTATTTAACCACTTAACTGTCACCGTCCCACAGGTGGGACGTTTGCCACTATATTTTTAAAACAATAATATCTTAGTAAATACCTTAAATAATATTGACAAACTATATATCATTTGAAAGCTTACAATCTCTAGTTTCCATATTTGGTGACTGATTTTCAAAACATATTACAGAGGAGCCATAATTTATCAATATAAAACAAGAATATTTTTATACTCATAAGGCGTGTTCAGACCTTTATTTTAAAATAGCAGTAAACATGAAAAATCATGAAAAAATGGTAGATACCTCAGTTTGTTTTCATGCCAAAAGTTCAAAATATAGAATCCATTCAATTATTTTGGAAAAAAAAGGTCTGAAAAGTTTGAAATATAAAGAAAAAAATAATAAATTCACCATTTGTGACGTGTCAGCTAGCTATGACTTACATGCGTGTTCTTTGTATGTGTTTCTTAGAGGTTCAATTCATATCAAAATC